AGAAAATTTCTTGTTTGTTCTGAACGTTTCGACATTATTTATTGAAGTCATTTCTTTCGAAGTGATACCAAAACTTATCATTTGTTATTGAATGCGCTACACATGTTGTATTTTCTTCACGCTTGTATATTGTCATAGCAAGGGTAATAATGAAGATAAGCTCCCAGTGTTTATAAAATGCTTCCGTGGCATGCGTCTCAAGTAGCCTCCGACAAATAAGCCCAGCTCCAAACCAGAGAATAGGCGAACAACTGGAGCCTGATAAGCAGCTGCTTCGGATAGATGGAACTCGACTGACCAGGAAGGTAGTCCATCTAGAAAAAGCCTGATTTTTAACCTCCGCTTAGTCATATCCAAACACGGAAAAAGCTATGGAATTAAATCCAGACCGAAAACTCGGAGTGGAGCTTCGAAAGCGGTTGACTGTCAACACTAACAACTTTCTGGAAATTCTTGTAGCCAAGCCATCTCCAAATATAATGTCTTGTATTCCTTCGGATTAGCCGAGGGGGGTGTATATGATCTGGCCTCCATATATCATCACCCAGGTCTGAATTTTGACCAAACAGGTCACTACCTTTATCTCGCGAGATAAACGGGTGCATACTCTACATGCCGCGAGAACAAGTATTAGTGAAGAAAAGAAAGACATTCTGATAATGTGCTTGAACACGCTCGGGGTGTTTTTGTCCACTACCGTAAGAAGCTACAGAACAAAATATTAACCTGAAAACTCTAATTGTGTTTATAATGGGCTCGTTAAATCTAGATTCTGACAATGGATGCCATGCATGACGTCTAATTCGATCACATATATCTAAACTATTATCAACATACAATCCTTTCCTTAAATCCATAATTTAAAAATAGCTTCAAGAGAATAAATTACTTAGATCATAAAAAATCAATTTTTCTTCAAACCGTGTAATCTGGCACTACATAATCACAAGGAGCTTTGCCAAATAAATACGTCATCACCTGAAGACTTCCAACAGCAACAAGAATTAAAAAGGACAGCACATATAACTCTTTATAAAAAATGTTCTCCAGATGGAGTACTACTGTCATATTTGGGCAGGGGTTTTCTAGTCCTCACTTGCTAGTCTCGATAGAGTCCAGAAGCGACTCAGAGTCTTTGTAGGTGATAAATCCTTTTCTACCCTACAAACGCATTCTCTCTCATTCTCACTCTCTCTCTCTCTCTCTATCTATCTATCTATCTATCTCTCTCTCTCTCTCTCTCTCTCACTCTCTCTCTCTCTCTGTGCCATTTTTAAACTTCACGGCCAAGACCCGCCATACCAATCACATTGTTGCAAACCACAGTTATTCCCTCCGTATACCATCGGTGAGAAGTAAGTTCCATTCAGTTTCTTTGGGTGAACAACAGCTCTGTGGGAACAACTCTGGGAACCTGTTCAAGTCTAGGCTTAACTGTTATCTTCCTCTCCTATTTGCATAAACTACCTCTTACCTCGAGTGGCTCCGAAGCCTTATACAGGGTGAACCTGGCCATAAAAAACGGAGATGGAAAATTAATGATATAATTAAGATGTTGACTTTCCACAATATCTTAAACCAAAGTTTAGGACGGAAGCTCCCATCACTAATAGAATGACAGATAACAGCAAATCGACTGAAGAGCTCTTTGTTTCTGAAATACTATTTTAAGAGAAATATTTTATAAATTTCAACCGACTGTAATGCTGACTGTTTGGTCAATGACTGTCAAATGTTTTTTGTATAGAAACGGTTAATCAAATTCGTTCGAAGGAGAAATTCTAGAAGTTGTCATTTGTCAATTGAATACTATATACGCATTACATATACATTAAGTGTTCGTTTGTTTTTTCACATTTTTTAGATGCCAAAGGAAAAGGACTCCTTGAAGAACAAAATGCGGACATTTAGATTTATTATAGAGAGAGTAATGATATTAGATCACCGGCGCCTAAATTAAACAGATCTAGGACAACCATTATGTATGCCATAAAGAAACTGCTAAGAATGACACCCTAGGGAACACTGCGGTCCATCGTCTCATTTTTTTAAATGTCATCTAGAATAAATTTACTGTTAATATAACTTTACGAAAAGTCTTCTAACCCCTCGATAAATTAAGCAAACTTTTATTTGAGTCCAGAATGAAAACGCGTTTTGTCTGATGTTCATAGTCCTGGGTATGACGATAAACCACATCCGGCAATAAGGCCACTGATCGGGACATTGGAGGTTTTGACTGGTGTGGAACCACCTCTTTCTTAATTGCTGTTGTTTCCAGACCCCCCCGCCGACCTGGTGTAGAAGAATCTGTTAAAATCCCAGCTATTGCCAAATAGAGAACCCCCAAGCAAAAACAAAACACCAAAGTATAAAATGACCGCTATACATTTTTTCTGTGGTTGAAGGCATACAACATTGCGTTCAAAATATTTAAATTTCGGAATTAAATAACCCATAGACGTTGATATGCCGCTAAACAAAATCAACCAGCCAGCTAACATAAAAGAACTCTTTCGTGACATTAGTCCATATAATATCCTACAATTTCTTAAATCAACCTGTATTCCAAAATATAACTTCAAAAAACTACAACATAAAACACGCATATCACCGCCTCTAGTAATCATGTCCACACAAATATGTATATACAAAAAAGTTGAACATCCGGCAGCAAATCGTCTGATTGGAAGATTGGAGGTTTTGAGGAGCGTAGAACCAAGTCTTGATCGCTTTTGCTCCTATATCCACCCTGATCCGGGGTAGTAGAACCTGTTAGGGCCCCTGATATGGGTAAATAGGGAGCCCTCAAACAAAAATAAAGCACTTTGAAAATATAAAATATATTTTTAGTGTAAAATGACCAACAATATATTTTTATACTAAAATTACCAACATATTTTAAAAGTAAAATGACCAGCAATCCATCTTACAGTAGAATTGCCAACAAATACATTTTATAGCAAAATGACCACCAATGTATTTCATCTGTAGTTGAAGCCATACAATTGTGTTTAAAATAATTACATTTCGGCATTGAATAGCCCATAAACATTGATGTGCTGCTAAACAAAAACCAACCGACCGACCAACAAGTCTGAGTATGATCTACCATTTATTCAACTGTGAAAGCATCATATATCATATTTTTCTTACTTCAAAACTGTCAAGAAAATGAAATTACGACATTAAATGACTCATAAGGAGTTGATATGACGTTAAACAAATGAATCTGATGTCCACAAATAAAAAATGAAGAAAAAGTAAATTAAGCCAAATAACAATGAATATAGTTTGTTATTTTTTCCAATACGATGAGTAAAATTTAGATGATCACACTAGTCAAAACCTCCAATCTCCCGATCAGAGGCCTTGTTGACGGATATGGTCTATCGTCATACCCAGGACTATGAACACCATTTGCAGGTCCTTTGTGTTTTCTTACCCCCCCCCAACAACATTAACGATAATGGAAAGCAAATAAAATGCCCAGCCTTATGTAGAAATGTCAGAGGAGAGGTTTTACCCTTCATATTTATCGAACGTTATTCTTGAATAAATTTTGTATTTCAGCATTATCAATCAAACTGATTTAAATCACGCTTTAAATCAAATGATTTTCTTTTAATTACCTATCTAAATCAATTTTACAAAAATCTTTATTTAAAGCAAAAGATTTAGAAATAAACACATTTTTATTTTCATCTAATTTCATCAAGGAATAATTTATTAATCAATTGAATTTTTTCCTATAAAAATAAAATTTTAACAATTAACCAATTTTAAAATTCAGTATGATCTGCGTTTGCATTCATGGATTTAAATAGAAAGACTAGTTTTGCTGTTTTATCTGTACCAAGATGGTTTCTCAGTTTGGAATGCACCAGTCCATAGGACGATAAAACTCATCCAACGTTAGAAGATGAGGCCATTGCTGACAGGAATTGCTTAACTGTAGAAAATATATCACTGCTTAAAACACTTTCAAATTTCAAGGTTGAAAAACATAGACAGGAATTGAAAAACTCATATCTAAGTTTTAAAAAACAGCGCTGGCTGTCAGTGTTACTAGCAAACTAGTCATAAAAAAGTTACAAGATTATTTATGTACAAATCAGTCATACATAGCTGACGATCGTCATGTCAATCTGTTAAGTTATTTTCAAATGCTTTAAGAATAAAAGAGTTGGATGACCTTATCTAAAAAAAAAACCGACAAAAACAAAACTGTAAGCATCTAAAACCTTAAAAATGATAAAAATTAAATGTCGATTTTATCGATTAAATTGGGAAGAAGTCAGCTAGAGATAACCAAAAATTAATAAGATAGACAGTAGGAAAATTTAAGGTTGCCAATTTTTTTGGTTGCCACTTTCAAGTTATTCGTATCAGCTTTTCTCTTTTTTTTGGGGGGGGCTTTCTTTATGGGCAAAAATAAAAATAAAAAAATAAATTTAAAAAATCCAATTTAAATAAAAATATCCATTTTTAACAAAACTCAGTTGTTCGTATAAATATTCAAATAAATTAAAAAATACAGCATATTAAATATTATTAATATTAGTAATATGAAAATCTAATTCATAATAATATATAAAGTATTCGTAATAAAATAAGCAGTTGATACTTTTTAAACAACAATCGATGTCCAGGATGCGGCAAAAACACACCCTACATATACTTCCCAGGTATACCTTCCATATAATGCGAAGACATTAGTAGCAATGGTATCTTCATCTAGCGAATGACTTACCGTTATTTGTGAGATATTTCCAGGAGGGCATATGTGATGATTTTCGGCCTTGTGCCACATCTAAGCTGCACTTAAAAAAATCATCACATTTGCCTCCCACATGATAGTAAGACATTAGCTTGAAGACGCCATCATATAATAATTGTTTGTCCCTCCCTCCATTAGTTCGCACAACCATTACGCTCTCCCAGTACCTCATAAGTAATGGACTAATCCTTGGAAAGACAAGACATATCAGAGACGTTACTTAGTTTCAGTGATAGATAGATAGATAGATAGATAGATAGATAGATAGATAGATAGATAGATAGATAGATAGATAGATAGATATTGTTTAGATACTGCTAATACCACATAAATAATAATCTGTTCCATTTTCATCGCGTGGGAAGACAAGACATCAAGGACGCTATTTGATTTCAGTGAGAAAGTAAAAGAAGTGAACAGAGAAGTATTTAACGTCTGTTTCAGTGAAATGGTAAAGTCATTTTCAAATTTTTCACCTGCCCACTTCTTAAAATAACTACCAGCATTCATTTTTATGATTTTTATTGCAACATTTTGTTAAAGTTGTTAAGCACAAATATTTAACGCCGCGATAAGGGAGTTTCCACAGATATTTCATTGTCATAGAACTCACCATGAGCTTATTCAATTATTAACTTATGAATTAAGATTCAGTCAGTCAGTAATGTGCCATGCGTGATACACGCTTAGGCGATCATGTATCTTTCGATACATGACTGACTAGGCAGATTTTTTTCTCGTAGTAGGTTGCCATTTCTTTCTGCGGTAGACCATTTGCCATCCAAGGCTCCAGAGCCCGGTCTTTCCTGCTATTTGCCCATAGTTGGGGGGAGAAGAAGAGGATTCATACCTTTCCCAATGGTATTAGAACGTAAGTGAATGTAATGAATTCGACTTTAATTCGAACTCGGCTCTCTGATTTCTCAATCCCTGCCGCTATCCATTACTCCACTCTAAAATAGGAAAACTGATTAAAACTAGTTGCTACTAATGTCTTACTATTATGTGACAGGTATTTCTGCCACACCCTGTATAATCACTAAGAATAAACAAATAGAGATTATAATGAAATAAACATATATTTAATAAATAGAAAATACATAATTATATAATAAAATGAATAAATATATTAAATTCTAAGATATATCCTAATTATATTTTGAAAATTTGCATCCGCAATTCCACTATCGGCCAGATGTTTAGGGCCACCCACTGAATTTAATCATACTTATTATAAAACCCAGATTGTGTGTTTGTGTGTGTCTGTCTGTTCGTTTATATATTGGATCGGATTTCCTACATTTTTCAACTGATTTCAACAAAATTTCACAGGACTACGTAAAATTACCTTGCAGGGGTTCTGACAGCGCCAAAAATTGGAAAAACACAATTGCTTATGCACGAAATCAATTTGAAAACACGATTTCGTCGCCAGAATGAAAGGGGGGCAATTCATATCGAGTTATACTTATTATAAAACCCAGGTTGTGTGTGTGTGTGTGTGTGTGTGTGTGTGTGTGTGTGTGTGTGTGTGTGTGTGTGTGTGTGTGTGTGTGTTCGTTTATATATGGGATCGGATTTCCTACATTTTTCAACCGATTTCAACAAAGCTTCACTTTTTTTTTTGCAGGTAGTGTTTCTTATTGTCTTGCACACTTTTTTTTTTTTTTTACATTCAGAATGCTTTAAAAAATTCCATTTACAAGACAAGTGTTTATAATAAAATTCTATTCAATCGATAGACTCATAACGATTGAAAACAATGTTTTTGTTTGAGTTTGGGTTTGACCAATTCGTAAAAAAAAAAAAAAAAAAAAAATAATTAAGACATGCGTGTCCGTCAACCTTAAGCAATAATCTTTGTCAATTTTATTTTTCAGTCTCTATGATGGTCGATACTTGATCTATCTCTTACTGTTACATCCCCGGGCAACGCCGGGCTCTACTGCTAGTAATTAATAAATTTCATACTTTGGTTTAACTAAATATTGTTTATCTAGTTCATTTTATATAACCGCTTGATGCATGGCATTAAACTATTTTAGAGAGTGGGTACTGAAAATTTAAATGGACCACCCAGAAGATTGCAAGACAAAAGGCGCTAAATTTTCATAACGATTTTATTATTATTATTATTATTATTATTATTATTATCATTATTATTTCCTTTGATTTCTATTGTATGCATATTTTCTTCCGGGTCCCAATCAGAGACTTACAGTCAGAAATAGCTTCATGGCATATTGCATGATCATTTTTGTAAAAAAAAAAAAAAAAATCACACACATTTTACATAGATAAAGCTTTTCGTAATGTGTGAGCTGAACTTCTGACTACAAGCATTTGTATTTCCTTAAAGCATAGACTACAAGGAATCCCTGTCTGTCTATCGGAATCTTTTCCAATCAATCCGAGCGGTACAATTACAACTGGAATTACTGATTTCCTCGTGTGCTGCATTTTTTTTTTTTAGATTTCCACTTCAAGTTTTGATAGTTTTTTAAAGATCTTAAACGATGCATTACAATCTTTAGGGAGTGCCATGACAATAAGAAAGCACATTCTGCTTGTGCGGTCTATGATCCGGATATCTGGGCGATTAGCTTTCATTGTTCTGTATGTGTGTATTGTAAAAAAAAATTATTACAGGTCCTATCTCTGTAACCTGGCCAGGGTGATATTCATACCAGTTTCTTGCGGTTTCCTTCCTGTAAATGTTGCATATTTTTCAGTGCATATATTGTCTCATTCTATCAGTTTGTTCATTTGGTGCTAACAGCGTGCGACCTGATACAAGATGTTCTATTGTTTCTGGATATTTGTCACAGAATCTGCATTTCGGGTTAACACAATTTTGAGTATGTGCATTTGTCTTGTGCAGCAAGAATAAAACCTTCGGTTTCAGCTTTCAACCTTGCACTACGTAACCACCGATGGGTGCGTGATTTGTCTACATTAGCTGGTTTGGTACGGGCAGATTATTGACCATGAAAGGGCTTATCTTGCCATCGTTTATTATTATTATTATTATTATTATTATTATTATTATTGGATACATGATAAAAACCTTCAGGAAAGGAAAGTCCCTCTGGCATTAAACGAGGTTGGAAATTAGCTTTGAGAAAAGCATGCAACCTTCAATTTTTTTAACGATTCTTCGAAATCCAAACTTCGTCGGCTTATCTTCTATCCAAGAATTTAATGTTTTCTTTGTTGATCGTTTCCTTTATGATGGTGGCTTCGATACTTTTGGTTGCGATGATGAATATAAGGGTTGCCAATAAAGTCCTGTTGCCTTTGAAGATGGAAAGGTCACAAATTCTTCTTTGGTCTTAATTGATATATTTAATCAAGATAATATTCCTCTTCGTTATCGATAACAACATACCGTTTATTTGGAAAATTATTGATTTTTTGAGCATAAAATTCCTCAAATCTCAATGAAAAGAAATACTTAATAGCAGCTTTAACCTCTTCAGAATTAATAGGCTGTTTTTTAGTTATTTCTTCCCAGGAAAGGCAATAAAGCCACTAAAACGAAAGGGGTTACTGAGTGTGAGAGAATATTAGAAAAAGAAAATATTACTAAGGAGAAAACAATAAAATAACAGCAATTAAGAAGACAAAAGATAACGATTGACATTACATTTGAATTTTTGAAAGAAGCCAGGAATGAACTCAAACAAGCGAGAAGTGCGAGAGAAGAAGCTACTTACGGTAACATCTAACCATTTCAACTGTGAAATGCTGAGATGTTACCGCTAATCTAGTACTGCTCTTAAATTCATAAAGTCTAGGTACAATAGATGGAATGTTCATCAGAAAAACTACTATGAAAGTACTTATAGAAAAAGCCAAGGGAAGCTACGTTACGGCAGTGGGAAAGTAACTGAAGCCTAGATGCCAGGTTAGGGATACTAACATTGCAGTTTTTTTCTTTATATTTTAACAAGAATCTCTAAATAAACCATAATAGAACCAGACCAAATGAGATAACAATATTCAATGCATCATAAATGGCTGGCTTATAAATGTGTTACATAGATTCTGACGAAAAAAATGTCTAGCACGACATTGTGAACTAACTTTACTGGCAGCAGACCTAGCAATTGACTCTATTTAATCTTTCCAATTCATGCCAACGGAAAATGTTAGCCTCAGAAGGAAGTTAACATTAGTTATGTTTTCCCCCTAAACATGTTGCAATGATCTGAAATAAAATGATTGTCAGATGGAGCAAGTTTAGGAGAGTAAGGAGGATTAGGCAAAACATCCATATTTATTGTTATAAGCTTTTCGTGACTCAAAGCAACAAGCCTTTACGATTAAACCAAATTTACCGCAGTTTATTTTCAATGATTCCAATTGATGATAGTATTTCTCCGTATCAACTGTTTCGTTTTTTAGTACTTCGTGACTGACAACACCCTTCAGTCACGGAACAACAACAGTAATTTTTTACATACTAGGTCTGATAAAAAAAAAGTATCGGGACTGGTGCTATAAAGAGAAAACTACAACACATAACAATTCGTGATTTAATCTTTGAAGAGGTCCCTTTGTGAAGCCACGCACTTTATCCAGCGTCGTTTCCATTGAGGGAAGCATTCTTGGAATTCTTTTTTGGGGAATAGTGAGCAGTTGCCTCGTCGCATTCTCTTAGATTTCCTCGGCGTCTCTAAATCTTATTCTTTCAAGTGGAAATTTGGTTTTTTGAAAAGGAAAAAGTCTCAAGGGCGGGATCTGGGGAATATGATGTTATTCGGACCACGGGAATGGTTGTCTTTTGCCAAAAACTGCTGCACAAGCAATGGAACATCTGCGGTGGGGTGAGACGACCACACTCTACACACATTCCTTTCCAACTGCTATAAACCACAGAAGTGAACAAGAACGTTATAACTTAATGTGTATACACAACAGAGTTCAAGGTCAATCTGTGACAAGTGTTTTCAATCTGCGTATTTTAGCTCCGCTACCAAAGCCACTATTCCGATACTTTATGATCAGATCTCGTATTTGAAATATGATATTTCAAGAAGTCGTTCTATACGATGAGTGTTTTTTGGAGATGCATTTTCGTAATTTCATGGTTTTTATGCCGTTTCTGGACATGGTGCCATAGCTAAAAATACTTTTCGTGAATAGTTCCAAAGTTTGTATATTAATGTAGATTTCATGTGCCTTCTCCATACATTTTTCTCATGAACTTTTCTCTATGGTACCTAGACTTGATGAATTTAAGCCCTGTACTAGATTTGCGGCAAGGTCTCATCCTTTTACAATTAAAATGGCTTGATGTAACCGTAATTTCTATGGTAACATTTTCTTCTATCGCATTTCACGCTTGTGGAACTCTCTTTTCGCTTCCCAGTAAATTTTGATCTTGAAACATTTTAAATGCAATGTCAGCAGTTACCTTGTGTTTTCTTAATTCTTGTTCTTTTATTGTTCTCTTTCGTTAATGTTATGGTCCGGTTCCTTGTACCACGGTGATAATCCAAGGTAGAACCAATACAGAAGAACTCAAACACGGGTATGGAATAACACAGATATATTACAAACAGGAATATATACAGAGAAGTAGAAGTGTTAGTATGAACAATCAGGTTTAGTAGAGAGAACAATGTAGTCTCGACCAGTATCACTATTCCAATGTCTTACAGTAATTGTCTGAACGCGACTCTGTTTCGGACTGCCTCTGACTCGACTTGAACTACTGACTCCTGAGGCGCAGTATTTATTAAGTATGGTATAGTCCATTATTATTATAATGGGTAAGATCCCATAACAGTTAATATATTTTCTGATACTCTCTAACACTCAGTAATTCCTTTCGTTTTTATTGCCTTGCTTGCGATGAAATGATTTTAAAAAATACGGTACAAAGTCCTTTTTTTTTTTTTTTTTTTTTTGCTCTTCTGAAGATTTCGGCCATTATCAAGAACTAAATTTGTCATGTGTCGTAGACAAAATTATAGTTAGCTTCATCCTAGCATGTTCTGGGACGTTACATTTCTGTTATAGAGTACGAAAAGTTTTTCTTCCTCCGTATGAGTTCGAATCCCTCGTCGGCAAGTGTTGTAGAGTAGTTTCACAGTGGAGGTTTGTATTTCACTAAGTCGGTCCTAAAATAGGTTCGACGTACAAAACGTTAGGAACTTGATATAATAGCTAATGACGTAGAGAAATCTAGTTGTGGTCGCTGATACTTTCGTATTCGACTAACTGTCGTCCGACATCGACAGACTGACCAACTCACTGACTCACTGAGCGACTGCTACTACTCCTACTTATTATAGGTGGGAGAGTCTATTAACAATAGAATAGCTGTGTTTCACTATAACAATTTCAATTTTAAATATGCGCCACTTATGCGATACACACATATTTAAATTTGAAATACAACGATCGAAAACTTTACTTGACGCGTTCTATTTATTAACGTATAAAATGGGGCTTTGGAACTCCCCGTTTGACCGGGACATTTGAATACACACAGACACATGCACGCAGCTGTGTGCGTGTGTTCAGAAGTGGTCTAAATACACGTTCGCAACAGCATTATTCTGGATAATCATTCTTTAATGGGATTATCTCTAGTTTCTGATATCTATCGTTTTTTTGCACCCCATATCTGACCGTCTGTTTGTGAGGTCTTGTGTAACGTGATAATCAGTCAAGGAGCAGATCCTAATGCGTCTGCTTGAACAGAAACTCTCCCATGGATTAACTTAGTCAGTAATAAGGTTCCAGTGAATAAGTTTGCATACACTTTGATCATTACATTTACAATGACAGAGCGAGGAAACGAAAACGTCATATCTTGTGTAAGATTTGGGGAAAAACATTTCTCAGGTTTTCTATAGGGCGTCCCTAAAATCTGGACACAGTAAATTTCATTGACTATATTTTTTTAGCTCCACAGATTAAACATGGTTTTGTCGAAAGCAAGAAAGAATTGAATTCTTTTTCTTGGGTATGCTAAAGGAGAAGGTGTACTCAATGAAAATCACAGATGCAACACACTTGACTGAGCGCATAAAGAGTGAATGTGATACAATTGACGGCAATGTTGGTTTATTGCATAGAGTTCACGTGAATCTTGCAAAGCGCATTAACGTTTGCATCACAAATGATGGAAATTATATTGAAGATGTTATTTGTTAATATTCCAGTTCGATAAAATGTTGTTGAAAGTTTATTTTCTTGAAAATATGCATTTTTTCCTATACGTCTAGACTTTAGAGGCACAAACTGTACATTATTTACATTATTCGGACTACTGTCCTCATCTTTGTCGCCATATTTATCACAACGCTTCGGCCTTCTTCAGGTGGTTGGAATTTCAAAATATAGACAGACAAACTGTACAGTCCAGTTTTTACTCCTATTGTGTGTGTGTGTGTGTGTGTGTGTGTGTGTGTGTGTGTGTGTGTGTGTGTGTGTGTGTGTATCTGAGAGAAAGCAAGAAAGAAAGAGAGAGAAAGAAAGAGAAAGAAAGACAGATAGACAGACAGGATGGGAGAATGAGAAATAACGGCTAGAATAGGGCGTTTATGAGCATTAATGTTAGCTTCCAATCATTAGACTGTCCTTAAGACTGCGTACGTGTGGAATTAACAAACGCGTGACACTTTTGAAAGAATATAGGTAAATATCTAACCTTGTGACATTACAAGAAGTGTGTAGTTGATTGTAATGCTCTCAACAGTATAAATAAACGCATTAATAAATGGATAAATGAACGGGGATTTATTATCTCTTTTATTAGGACATTTATAACGAAGGGAACGTATGGGCATACTTACGTGGGCGTGAGGAGAGACAAAAGAAGGCTTATTTATACATATGAATGTACGGATGACGACTGCGTATAAACAGGAGATAGGAAGAAGCGAAACGAGGCATCTAATGATTAAAAGAAGTGGGGAGAAGGAAGGTTTTCATTAGTGGAAGATATATTTACACGAATTCAATAACGAAAATATACAGTTTGCCCGTTGTCGTTGTGGGGAGATAAGAGGACTGAAAACAGTAAAGCAATTCACACTTGACAACTAATGGATTCTGCAGCATCAGAGACACAATCGGAGACACCATTACTAATACACACACACACATACACACACACACACACACACACATATATATATATATGTGTGTGTGTATACATGTCATGTCTTTTTTATTAATTTATGTAATAGCTTTAATAGCATTTTCTCGAATTTGATTCGATTTGGATTTTTGCCACTTGTTGCCGCATACAAAAGGCGTCCAGTTCTTCTGGTGTCTGCTTGAAGCAGATTACAAAGTCGTTGATAAACAGACCACCATCACATCCATGTCTATTTCCGTTTCCTCTTACGATTAATGCATGTCAAAATGATCACCCCTTTCTCTTTGACACTGATGGACACACACTCAGGCATTACCTGTAACCTCGTATTCAGTACCAACTAAAAACACGTGCATGTTTAACGATTGCCTATACGCAATTATACATATATATATATATATATATATATATATATATATATATATATATATATATGGGTAGTTCTATATGAACTCAACCAAATTTTTTCGAAATTCTCATGTAGCACCTTAGATTTTGAAGAAATTTTAATATTTTGTACCCACAAATAAAAAATAAAAATCCTAAAATTTTAACTCCCTTAGACAATTTTAGTTCAGGAATTATAGCAACTTGAAATTTGGTGCCAATTTTAGCTGTTCAGGTTGAAAATTCAACGATTTATGTAATTTAGCTTAGACTGATTTCTTTTTAACTTAAATAAGCTAATTTCATAATGAGGGTTCGTCTACCAATGTCATTCCAACCAGACTGGTGCTGCCCTCTTCCGTCGTGTAGATATTTGCATATTCATATATATATATATATATATATATATATATATATATAATCGAGTTCATTTCAAGCAAAACCAGTATGTAGCCAGACTGAGGTCTTTTTTTATTTTACTTTAATACGATTTGGAAAAATTTACAAAATATGTTTTTGTAACTTCCAGAAAATCTTTATATATATATATATATATATATATATATATATATATATATATAATCGAGTTCATCCCAAGCAAACCAGTAAAGCCACAAAGGGTTTGGGTGTAAACGAACAGAAACTTTACTAACATTTCTTCTTCTTTTCATTAGATGTGATTTTGTAAACGCTGATTAGATGTAGTACCTAGTGGCAATCGATCTCACTACTCAGTCGCAATTGTTCTAGCGAAACAAGCTTGCTTAACCATTACACAACGTCGAAGTTACCCTCTATATGTCGTGTGAGTATCAAATACTCCAAGCCCCCTTTCCTCATTATATCGCCAAAGATTCTACTGTCACTCTCTGATTCTAAAGTGTCTTTTTTGTTTCCATGTCCCATGGTACTCTCAAGAGATGTCTTTGTAAGTACATGACTTTCGCTTCGAGTCTCTTCGTCAGTAAATAGAATTCCAAGCATTCACTTCCATATAATACATTATATATAGCATAATTGTTCAGTACTTTTTTTTATTGTTTCTCACGAAATCTTTATGCTTCTTAATATTTTGTTTAGTTTTTGGATGCCTTCAAACAAAAGAATACAGTTCCAACAGCGAAATTTGGAGGTGTCAGCATTATGGTTTGGAGATGTTTTTCTGCAAACATATCAGTAATAGATGGTAGAATGAATGCCGCTGCGTATCAAAATATTCTGGAAACAAATTTAATGATTTCGGTTGAAAATATTGACCTTTCTCCAGACTGAATCTTCCAACATGATAATGATACTACGAAGAAATGCCTTCTAAAAATAATTTAAAATATCCTGAAATGGCCAAGTCAGTCCCCAGATTTAAACCCAATCGAGAATCTGTAGCGTTATTTGAAAATTGAAATCTAATCGAGAGCGAAACATCCCGGACTTGAAGACCATATGCGAAGAAGAATGAAACAAGATAGCAACTAAAATTTGCAAAACATTGAGAACTACAAGAAGAGGTTGGTTGCTGTAGAAGTGAATAATGGCTATTCTAGAAAGTATTAAATGAAGATTATGTATTCTTTTTTTTGTATTTTACGAATATTTTTCACCTATTAAAATGGATAAATGAGATTTTTTCCTATTAAATCAATTTTTTACTGTTTTCTATGCATATTTAGTTATTATGCATCTGTATACGGTTAATTATATGAAAAGTCTGTTTATTCATTAGTTAGAAATACAATAAATTAAAAATTTGTATTTGTACGAATATTGGTTTTCCCTGGACCCACCCCCACTGCATATAGCATAGCTGTTCAGAACTGTTTTGCTTCTTAATTTTTGTTTCTCAATACTTTGTTTAGTTTTTGGAAGGCATCTTTCGCTATTCCAATGCAACTTCGGATTTCCGTCGTCTGCTATAATACTTGAGATATTGACATTTTTGTTTCAACTGAGAGGGAATTTTCTAGCATTCACTGGCATACAGACAGGAATGGTGTTACGTCGCGGTTCTAAACTCTTTTCTATTCATATTTCATGTAGATAAGCTCTTTAATTAACATTATCAATATTGCGAGTGTCTGTGTGTGGCCGTTTTTAATTTCCGCAACTTTGGTTGAAGATAATTTTTTAAGATATTGCCAACTTTTAGATGCTGCTAACATTACATTTCATACTTGCATAATATAAAAGAGGCCTATCAAGACGCTTCGGTTGATGCGGTAAGCCATGGCAAAACACCACTGGAGACACTGTTATCAATTGAAGGCAACTGTGTTCTCGCATGCAAAAGGTGTGCAGCTCATAGACTTTATATCTCTTATCCATTTAATTACACACACACACACACACACACACACATATATATATATATATATATATATATATATATATATATATATCAATTATCATAATGAAAACGAACACTTAAAAGACCATGGTGAATTATCCATACGGATTACCTATATATATATATATATATATATATATATATATATATATATATATATATATATATATATATATAAAAGAGAAACTGCAGAGATTTTTGGTTGTAATATGGATTTTTTTTTTTAAATATTCTGCTTCATTTTCCATAATTCCATTATGGAAAATAAAGCATAATATATTTTTCAAAAATCCACATTACAATCAAAAACGTTCGCGGTTTCTCTCTTCTTATATATATATATATATATATATATATATATATATATTTTCTCGTTGGAACTATGACCTATTTCTCTCATATATATATATATATATATATATATATATATATATATATATTATATGATAAATCCGTGGATAATTCCAAAGAGAGATCAATGTAAGAAAAAGACCAAATATTTATTATGAAAGCGGAGACTTTAAAAACATGGTAATATTTTTGTTTCGTTAAAATTGATACCTCGGTTTTATCTCATCGAACCAAGACCTTTTTTTTTTTTTTTTTGTAGAAACTGTTTTTGGTCCGATGAGATAAAACCGAAGTATATCCGCTTTCATTTATATATATATATATATATATATATATATATATATATATATATATATATAATATAAATATAGATCAAATATGGATCGGAATCCGATTTAATTACAGGATAAGGAACAAATAGGAAACCTTTATAAACTTAGCATGTTTATCTTTTATTAAAACTTCACCAGAAAATGAATTACGAAGAGAAAAGAAAATTATGATATTTTTATTTTTGTAACGTTTGTTTTTCCGTCAGTTAAGCAGACCTCACGTGTATCTGTCTTGTGAAGCAGTGTTCATGTGTATAATTAATGTGTGCATGTGTATCATAATTCTAGTTTGTCTATGCGGGATTCGGAAGATAATGTGTATTTTTTGTGTGCGCGTGTGTGTCTAGTAGACATTTTTATCTATGTTTGGTGCTTGTCCGTTTGTTGATTTGGGGATATTTTGTGTGAGGATGAAATGATTTAAGTTACACCGGTTGTGGTTGTAAGTAGACATAGCCTAGATTCTTTGAGTATGAATTTTATAAAAGTTTGTCACATAATAAAAGGTGTCTGACGTGTGTTTATAAATGTCAAATTCCCTCTAAGTATTTCCTGCGTAATGAATTACTAATTCTTTTCTAATTAAGGTGACATTTATAAAATCGAAGTTGTGGCATGTTCCGTTGCTGCGTATTGTCCCAACGAAGGTCTCTCTTATGTACGTAATATGTTTTGACTGTTTAAGTTGTATTTTATTTTTGTGTTGTTTTGAATAGGAGCATTTATTCCGAGCCTTCAGGTGTTTAGTGCGGCTGAAACTCGCATGAGGAAAAATTGACAATACCAAAAGCAAAACCCCTTGAAAATAGCTGAATAAGTGGTCGAAAGTGCTCGGGGCAATGAAAATCATGGAAATTTGTTGTACTCCCTTACTCCTACCAAACGGAAAAACGTAAGGATGCTGGAAAAAATAAATAAAAAATTAATTAAATCTTTATGGATTGGCATATTTAGCGAAATATATACCCTTGGGAAAAATATGAATCCTCTTCTCCCTCCAGCTATGGGTAAATAGCAGGACAGACTGAGTTCTATAGCCTTGGATGGCAACTGATCTAGGAGAATGACAACTCTGAAGTCAAAACCTGCGGAGGGTCGTTTGGGGACCTTGTGGCACGTAGTGCACCAGGTCTCTGAATTCGGCCCCTCAAAAAGTGTGGATGGTTCTGTACAAAACCTTCACCATTATAATCAAATGTCTGGTGTCGGGCTGTTGGTTCCTAGGAACTGATCTGCTTGGCCCTCATACGTCGAATTCGACGGAAGAGTCGTGTATATATATATATATATATATATATATATATATATATATATAGCGATAACAAAGATAGTATAACGCCCAAAATTCTATCAATCAGGGGGATACTGAGAGAAAAGACAT